TCCTAACCTAACTTACCTTACCTATCTTACCTAACTTACCTAACCTAACCTAACTTATCCTCCTTAACCTAACTTACCTACATTACCTAACTTAACCTGCTTAACCTAACTTACATAACTTATCCTAACCTAACCTGCTTGCAATTGGCTCTAAGCCAGGCATCTTATATGGGTTACCTAAAGTTCATAAAACAGATATACCGATTCGTCCTATTTTATCAGCGATAGGCACTTTTAATTACAAACTGGCAAAGTTTCTGGTTTCATTATTAGAACAACTAACGCATAATGAATTTACTGTGAGAAATTTTCAGGATTTTGTAAAGGAACTTTCCTCTTTAAATTTTGAGTTCCCAACTATAATGGCGAGTTTCGATGTTGAATCACTCTTTACTAATATTCCTTTGTTGGAAACCATTGATATTTGTGTTAATCAGTTATTTGCTGACACTAATTTAGTGTCTGGATTTTGTAGTAAAATGTTCAGACGGTTGTTAGAATTAGCGGTTAAAGACTCTGTCTTTATGTTTAATAATATATATTATAAGCAAATTGATGGAGTACCAATGGGGTCTCCCTTAGGTCCTGCACTTGCTAATGCTTTTTTGAGTTTTCATGAAAAAATTGGCTTGATAAATGTCCTTCGGCCTTTAAACCAGTCTTGTACAGGAGATATGTAGATGACACTTTTTTGTTATTTAAGGACCAATGACATATTGAGAAATTTAGAGAGTATCTTAATGCACAACATAGTAATATACGTTTCACTCCGGAATGTGAAGTGGATAATTCATTGTCGTTTCTTGATGTCAAAGTGAATAACCTTAATGGGTTCAACACTAATGTTTTTAGAAAACCAAATTTTACTGGTTTAGGTTTAAATTTCAATTCTTTTGTTCCTGATATTTTTAAGAAAAATGCAATTAATACTCTACTGAATAGGGCCTTTGTTTTATGTTCAAATTGGAATAACTTTGATCAAGAAATTAATTTTCTTGTGAAATTTTTTTCAAATAATGGTTATCCTTTGCATATGGTTTATACCTTTATGAGGAATTTCTTAAATAAGAAGTTTCACCCACCGTGTAGGATTACTACAGTAGAAAGGGATCTTAAATATATTAAATTACCATTTTATGGCACTATTAGCTTTTCTGTAAGGAGTCGTTTGAGGAGACTGTTGCAGCATTGTTATCCTCAAGTAGACTTTAGATTTATTTTTGTCAACACAAATAACATAGGCTCTTATTTTAATTTGAAGATAAAGTGCCTACCCCCCCCCCCCCCCCGCCCCGTGTGCTCTAATATCGTATACATGTATAATTGTTCCAGCTGTAATGCTGGATATATCGGAAGTTCCATTCGGAACTTTAAGATTAGGATACTTAAGCACCGGGGAGTATCTTTTAGGACTGGATTACCACTGTCTAAACCAGCATTTTCGGAGATTAGAAACCATTGTTATGAGTTTCATCATTCTCTGTTGGAATCTGATTTTAAAATTCTGGACACTTGTATGAATGGCCAGTCAGATTTGAGAGTAATGGAATCCTTATATATAAAGGAGCTGCGGCCTCTGTTAAATAGCAACCTTTCAGCTGTTCAATTGTACACTGTATAGTGCACAGTAGGACCTGTAATTTGTTTTATAGTTCATTCTGGCAGTTTAATTTTATTATAATTTTGTTTAGTTTACCATGTCTTTGCCATTTCTTACCTTTTTTAAGTCTTGACATTGTACATTTGTATAATCTTTTTATTTAGGATATATAATACATTTTTTGGTATTTAGAGTTGTTTAATATTTGTGTTTTTTATAAGATTTTGGTTATTACTTTATAATTGTCGCTTATTCTGTTTGCATTTTATATACATTTTTTGTAGAATTTTAGTCATTATATGAATATTTGTAATAGTGTTTAGTATCTACGTGTTAACTATCAAGTTTCATTCCTGTTGATCACTTCACGTAAGTTTAATAGTATGGTTTGTTTTAGTAGTTATAAAATTCCTCTTGTAATTTAATGGATTTTTGAATTAGCTTTTATCTATGTGACAGTTAATAAGTTTTATTTGTAATGATCACTTTAAGTAAGCTTAAGTGTTTTGTTTTTTTAATCATTTACCTTTCTTTGATAGGCAATTGTATTCAGTATGAGTTCTTTGTTTACCAGTTATTTGATTGTGATTTCTGTTTTTTTGCTTTTAGATCTGATGATGAATGCGAGAAGTATTCGAAACGTTATGCATTTTAAAGTAAAGAATCTGAAACAAGATGTTCAGTATATCCCTGGTTTTCCTATTCATCTTAAAATATAAATATATATATATATATATATATATATATATATATATATATATATATATATATATATATATATATATATATATATATATAACTGACTGGTCGAGTGGATTAAGGTGTCCTGTACACACCAGTTGCGTTGCTCCTGGCAGTATGGGTTCGAGTCACTTCTGGGGTGTTTAGTTTTCAGTTGCATATGGTAAACTATAGTATATATAGTTTACCATACCGTTCATTTCGTGAGTATAGTTTATTTATTTATTTGTTCATTTTTTCAATTCGTTTCTTTTACTGTTCTTTTTATTTTTTCATTGATAGGAACATCATATCATCTGGGAATGCATCGGTCGAGGGACTGGGAAATGATGAGGAGGACTAGGGGATGGGAGCAGGGGATGGTGGGGAGGACGTGGGGGACAGTGGAGGTGGTAATGGTGGGGAGGACGAGTGGACGGGAGAGTTGGGGATTGTGGGGACGAGGGGAATGGAGAATGGTGCGGGAGGACAAGGGGACATAGGAGTGGAAATGGTGGGGAGAAAGAAGGGACAGGAGAGGAGGGAAATGTTTGGAAGACGAGGGGACGGGGGAGTGGGAGATGGTTGGGAGGACTAGGGGACTGGAGGGGGGAAGACCAGGAGACAGGGGAATGTTGCTGTTGCTCAGCAACGCACATGCGTTGCTGAGCCACAGCAACGTGTGGCCAGGTACAGCTAGTATATATATATATATATACATAAAAATAGAAATGTTCGTTTGTTCTAAATCACTAATCTCCAAAAGTTCTTCACTGATTGCTTTGAAATTTTCACACAACGTTCCATTCGCATTCGAGCGGGTTTTTATATACCTATTATATAAATGTCACACCTATGACAGGTAAAAACATGCTTTAAAAAAAACAGCTCTATCTGTTGCACGTAAGAGCAACACACGCTATACTATATATGTTACAATCCCATTTCAATGTTTCTGTCTTCGTTATCATCTTCTTTGAGGCTTAAGGGTCCCTACAAACAACCAGAGCATATTTTGTCTAAGTATAGTGCATCGAAAATCTCATCCTTGCATGTATATCATGCAGCAGGAAATATTGTTATTATTTGGGGGAGGGGATGAACAGGACAGGTTGACTAGTTTATAGGGGAGGACATTATTAAACATATAGTAAAACTCAAACAACTCACCGAGAGGAGCTTTGCGAGCCATTGTCATTCATATTTATTTAATTACTTTTAATAAGTCAGGCAGAGTGCCAAAGTCGTGGAAGGTTGCTAATGTGGTACCACTTTTCAAGAAAGAAGGAAGATCACTTTCATCAAACTATTGGCCAATTAACTTAACATTTATTGTGGGAAAATTACTAGAATCGTTAATAGAATCGCTATTTGTCTTCATCTTGAAAAACATAGATTAATAAATGATTCACAACATGGTTTTACTAAAGGCCGTTCATGTTTAACAAATTTGATATCATTTTATTGCAGCATAGTTGAGGCATTTGATAGTAGAAAGGTTTGAGGCGTTTTGTTCCTTGACCTTAGCAAAGTTTTTGATACAGTGCCACATGCAAGATTCAATATAATGATAAAGGCTCACGGTATTGGGGGAGCTATATTAAGTTGGATTAGGACATAGTTATACCAAAAGAAACAAAGAGTTAGTATTAATGGGGGTTAAGTCACCGTGGGAAAATGTTGTAAGTGGAGTGTTTCAAGGCTATCTCCTGGAACCTCTGTTATTCATAATATAAATTATTTAGATTCTGGGTTGAGCAGCAATATCTGCAAATTTGTCGACGATACGTAAAACGGGCGGGAAATAAACACGGGAGAAAACTCATTATCAGTTCAAGACGATCTAAATAAGGTTTTGAAATGGTCAAAAGATTGACAGATGCAGTTTAATGTTGACGAATGTATGGTTTTGAGGCTAGGTAATGATGACAGAGTTATAAGATACGAGCTAGATGTGGTTGAGATTGCGAAGGCATATTGCAAAAGAGATCTAGGAGTTATGATAAGTAAGAATTTAATGCCAAAAAATCAATGCATAAATGTTTGAAGTGAAGTAAATAGGTCACTGGGATTTGTTTATCGAAGTGTTAGAAATAAAACACCTCGTGGTATTCTCTAGTTTAAGCTTACACTTGATAGACCCCATTTAGATCATGCAGCTTAGTTTTGGTCGCCCATTAGGATATAAAGTCATTACAACGTGTCCAGGGTGGGATGACAAAATTAATCCAGCAATTTAGAAACCTCTCATATGAAGAGAGATTGACAAAAGTTAATTACATTCTCTAGAAGGAGAAGGATTTATTCTCTAGAAAGGGTGTTATGATAGAGGTGTACAAGTGGATGAATGGGCATAAATAAGGGGATATTAATGGGTTATTAAAAGTATCAACAAATTATAGAACAGAAAATAATGGGAATAAATAAATTGCATAAGTTTAGTAGTAGGAAAGACCTGGGTAAATACTGATTCGGTAACAGGGTTCTCGATTTGTGTAACCAATTATAGGGTAACATTATAGACGTGGAATCAGGTGATTGTTTCAAGCGTAGGTTAGATATATATGTGAATTTAGTTCGGTGTACATAAATAGGAGCTGCCACGTATGGGCCAATAGGCCTTCTGCAGTTACCTTGATTGTTATGTTCTTATGATCTCAACTCACCATCTCCCTGGCAGCTGTTAAGTGACGTGCACTTCACGGTGGGGTTCGACCTGGCCACGTCTCACCACGCCCGGAACGCCAAGAATAACCATAAGACTTATCGCTACGAGTTCTGTCACCGGGGCGAGCTCTCCTTCGGTGACTACTTCAACACTCACGTCGGCAAGCACTGTAAGTGACGGACAAGCACTGTAAGTGACGGACAAGCACTGTAAGTGACGGACAAGCACTGTAAGTGACGGACAAGCACTGTAAGTGACGGACAAGCACTGTAAGTGACGGACAAGCACTGTAAGTGACGGACAAGCACTGTAAGTGACGGACAAGCACTGTAAGTGACGGACAAGCACTGTAAGTGACGGACAAGCACTGTAAGTGACCGACAAGCACTGTAAGTGACCGACAAGCACTGTAAGTGACCGACAAGCACTGTAAGTGACCGACAAGCACTGTAAGTGACGGACAAGCACTGTAAGTGACGGACAAGCACTGTAAGTGACGGACAAGCACTGTAAGTGACGGACAAGCACTGTAAGTGACCGACACACACTGTAAGTGACCAACACACACTGTAAGTGACCAACACACACACTGTAAGTGACCGACACACACTGTAAGTGACCGACACACACTGTAAGTGACCAACACACACTGTAAGTGACCAACACACACTGTAAGTGACCAACACACACATTGTAAGTGACCAACACACATTGTAAGTGACCAACACACACACTGTAAGTGACCAACACACACACTGTAAGTGACCAACACACACACTGTACGTGACCGACACACACACACTGTACGTGACCGACACACACACACTGTAAGTGACCAACACACACACTGTAAGTGACCAACACACACACTGTAAGTGACCAACACACACACACTGTAAGTGACGGACACACACACACTGTAAGTGTACAACACACACACTGTTGACCACACACACACACTGTTGTGACAACACACACACTGTTGTACAACACACACACTGTTGTACAACACACACACTGTTGTACAACACACACACTGTTGTACAACACACACACTGTTGTACAACACACACACACTGTTGAACAACACACACTGTACAACACACACACTGTACAACACACACACTGTTGTACAACACACACACTGTTGTACAACACACACACTGTTGAACAACACTCACACTGTTGAACAACACACACACTGTTGTACAACACACACACTGTTGTACAACACACACACTGTTGTACAACACACACACTGTTGAACAACACAACACACACACACACTGTAACAACACACACACTGTTGTACAACACACACACTGTACAACACACACACACAACACACACACTGTTGTACAACACACACACTGTTGAACAACACACACACTGTTGTACAACACACACACTGTTGTACACACACACACACTGTTGTACAACACACACACTGTTGTAACACACACACACACACACTGTTGTGACGACACACACACACTGTAAGTGTACACACACACACACACTGTTGTACAACACACACACTGTTGTGACAACACACACACTGTTGTGACCACACACACACACTGTTGTGACAACACACACACTGTTGTGACCACACACACACACTGTTGTGACACACACACACACTGTTGTGACACACACACACAACACACACACTGTTGTGACAACACACACACTGTAAGTGTACAACACACACACTGTAAGTGTACAACACACACACTGTAAGTGACAACACACACACTGTTGTACGACACACACACACTGTTGTACAACACACACACACACACACACACACACTGTAAGTGACCAACACACACACTGTTGTACAACACACACACTGTTGTACAACACACACACTGTTGTACAACACACACACTGTTGTACAACACACACACTGTTGTGACCAACACACACACTGTTGTACAACACACACACTGTTGTACACACACACACACTGACAACACACACACTGTTGTACAACACACACACTGTTGTACAACACACACTGTTGTACAACACACACACACACACACACTGTTGTACAACACACACACACTGTTGTGACAACACACACACTGTTGTACAACACACACACTGTTGTACAACACACACACACTGTTGTGACACACACACACACTGTTGTACACACACACACACTGTTGTACAACACACACACTGTTGTGACCAACACACACACACTGTTGTACACACACACACACTGTACAGTGACACAACACACACACTGTTGTGACCAACACACACACTGTAAGTGTACAACACACACACTGTTGTACAACACACACACTGTTGTGACACACACACACACTGTTGTGACCAACACACACACACACACACACACTGTTGTACAACACACACACTGTAAGTGTACAACACACACACTGTAAGTACAACACACACACTGTTGTGACAACACACACACTGTTGTACCACACACACACACTGTAAGTGACCAACACACACACTGTTGTGACCAACACACACACTGTTGTACAACACACACACTGTTGTACAACACACACACTGTTGTACAACACACACACTGTTGTACAACACACACACTGTTGTACAACACACACACACTGTTGTACAACACACACACTGTTGTACAACACACACACTTTTGTACAACACACACACTGTTGTACAACACACACACTGTTGTACAACACACACACTGTTGTGACAACACACACACTGTTGTGACCAACACACACACTGTTGTGACCAACACACACACTGTAAGTGACACTGTTGTACAACACACACACTGTTGTACAACACACACACTGTTGTGACAACACACACACTGTTGACAACACACACACACTGTTGTACAACACACACACTGTTGTACAACACACACACTGTTGTACAACACACACACTGTTGTACCACACACACACACTGTTGTACAACACACACACTGTAAGTGTACAACACACACACTGTTGTACCAACACACACACTGTTGTACAACACACACACTGTTGTACAACACACACACTGTTGTACAACACACACACTGTTGTACACACACACACACTGTTGTACAACACACACACTGTTGTACCACACACACACTGTGTGTACAACACACACACTGTTGTACAACACACACACTGTTGTACAACACACACACACACACACACTGTACAACACACACACAACACACACACTGTTGTACAACACACACACTGTTGTACACACACACACACTGTTGTACAACACACACACACAACACACACACTGTTGTACCAACACACACACTGTTGTGACAACACACACACTGTTGTACAACACACACACTGTTGTGACCAACACACACACTGTTGTACAACACACACACTGTTGTGACCAACACACACACTGTTGTGACAACACACACACTGTTGTACAACACACACACTGTTGTACACACACACACACTGTTGTGACCGACACACACACACTGTAAGTGACCGACACACACACACACACACTGTAAGTGACCAACACACACACTGTTGTACAACACACACACTGTTGTACAACACACACACTGTTGTGACCAACACACACTGTAAGTGTACAACACACACACTGTTGTACAACACACACACTGTTGTACCAACACACACACTGTTGTACAACACACACACTGTTGTACAACACACACACTGTTGTGACCAACACACACACTGTAAGTGACAACACACACTGTTGTACCGACACACACACACTGTTGTACAACACACACACACTGTTGACCGACACACACACACACACACACACTGTAAGTGTACAACACACACACTGTTGTACAACACACACACTGTAAGTGACCAACACACACACTGTTGTGACAACACACACACTGTTGTGACCAACACACACACTGTTGTGACGACACACACACACTGTAAGTGTACAACACACACACTGTAAGTGACCAACACACACACTGTAAGTGACCGACACACACACACTGTAAGTGAACAACACACACACTGTAAGTGACCGACACACACACACTGTAAGTGACCGACACACACACACTGTAAGTGACCGACACACACACACTGTAAGTGACCAACACACACACTGTAAGTGACCAACACACACTGTAAGTGACCGACACACACACTGTTGTGACGACACACACACACTGTTGTGACAACACACACACTGTTGTACACACACACACACTGTAAGTGACCGACACACACACACTGTAAGTGACCGACACACACACACACACTGTAAGTGACCAACACACACACTGTAAGTGACCAACACACACACTGTAAGTGACCAACACACACACTGTAAGTGACCAACACACACACTGTAAGTGACCAACACACACACTGTAAGTGACCAACACACACACTGTAAGTGACCAACACACACACTGTAAGTGACCAACACACACACTGTAAGTGACCAACACACACACTGTAAGTGACCAACACACACACTGTAAGTGACCAACACACACACTGTAAGTGACCGACACACACTGTAAGTGACCGACACACACTGTAAGTGACCAACACACACACTGTAAGTGACCAACACACACTGTAAGTGACCGACACACACACACTGTAAGTGACCGACACACACACACTGTAAGTGACCAACACACACACTGTAAGTGACCGACACACACTGTAAGTGAGGCTAGTAAGGAACAGATCTATCTCCTCCCCTGAGTAATAAATCTCCATCCCCCACAGAGTAATAGATCTCCACACGAGAGAGTAATAGATCTTAATCCTCCCTCAGATCAATAGATCTCTCCCCAGAGAGTAATAGATCTCCATCCCCCCACAGAGTGAGAGATGCCCCACCTTGCGGCCTATGTACGAGACGTTACAGGGCTCCTATCCCTTCCCAACACCTATGTAAGAGACGTTACAGGGCTCCTATCCCTTCCCAACACCTATGTACGAGACGTTACAGGGCTCCTATCCCTTCCCAACACCTATGTACGAGACGTTACAGGGCTCCTATCCCTTCCCAACACCTATGTACGAGACGTTACAGGGCTCCTATCCCTTCCCAACACCTATGTACGAGACGTTACAGGGCTCCTATCCCTTCCCAACACCTATGTAAGAGACGTTACAGGGCTCCTATCCCTTCCCAACACCTATGTAAGAGACGTTACAGGGCTCCTATCCCTTCCCAACACCTATGTACGAGACGTTACAGGGCTCCTATCCCTTCCCAACACCTATGTACGAGACGTTACAGAGCTCCTATCCCTTCCCAACACCTATGTACGAGACGTTACAGAGCTCCTATCCCTTCCCAACACCTATGTACGAGACGTTACAGGTCTCCTATCCCTTCCCAACACCTATGTACGAGACGTTACAGGGCTCCTATCCCTTCCCAACAAAACAATAACAAATTATACTGCAACAGAAGAACAAGTGTCCATCTCTCATTATTGAATAGATATATAGATATCTATTCAATAATGAGAGATGGACACTTGTTCTTCTGTTGACACTTGTTGCTCCCCAGAGAGCAACAAGTGTCTATCCTAACCAAGGCGGCCATTTTTCATGAACCATTAAACAATTTGTGTCATTGTTCAATTGTGCAATAGCATGCCCCTAAGAAGGAACAGGATTCTATTACCATTAAGCAATTCTTTAATGAGGTGTATCTGCATCATAAGGGGTGGGTGTAAATTTCTAATTAAGGCATGTCTTTATATCCTATTAAGTGATAGGCATCTAAGCCTCATTAAAGGGTAGGTGTTTCTTCCCTATTAAGCAATATATGCCTTATTTAGAGATGGGTGAATATGCCTCATTAAAGAATAGTCATATATGCCTCTTTAGGGAATAGGTATTTTGGAATTTTAAGGAATAGGTGTCTATGACTCATTAAGGAATAGGTGCCTATGAACCATTAAGCAATAGGTGTCAATGTATAATTAATCCGTTAATCAACAGATAGCTATGCACCATGGAGCATTAGATGTCTATGTATCATTAATCAATTGATGTCTATGTACTATTAAACAATATGTGTCTATTGCTTAATAGTACATCGCAATACGTACGTAACCTTAAACAATACGTGTCTTTGTAGCATTAAGCAAAATGTGTTTATGTTCCAATAAGCAATATGATTCTTGGTACCATTTAGGAATAGGTGTATGTGTACCACTAAGCAATAAGTGTCTATGTATTTTATACAACAGGTGTTCATGTTCCATCAAGCAACAGGTGTTCATGTCTCATCAAGCAACAGGTGTTCATGTCCCATCTAGCAACAGGTGTTCATGTCCCATCTAGCAACAGGTGTTCATGTCCCATCTAGCAACAGGTGTTCATGTCCCATCTAGCAACAGGTGTTCATGTTCCATCAAGCAACAAGCAACAGGTGTTCATGTCCCATCAAGCAACAGGTGTTCATGTCCCATCTAGCAACAAGCAACAGGTGTTCATGTCCCATCTAGCAACAAGCAACAGGTGTTCATGTCCCATCAAGCAACAAGCAACAGGTGTTCATGTCCCATCAAACAACAAGCAACAGGTGTTCATGTCCCATCAAATAACAAGCAACAGGTGTTCATGTCCCATCAAGCATCAAGCAACATGTGTTCATGTCCCATCAAGCAACAAGAAACAGGTGTTCATGTCCCATCAAGCAACAAGCAACAGGTGTTCATGTCCCATCTAGCAACAAGCAACAGGTGTTCATGTCCCATCAAGCAACAAGCAACAGGTGTTCATGTCCCATCTAGCAACAAGCAACAGGTTTTCATGTCCCATCTAGCAACAAGCAACAGGTGTTCATGTCCCATCTAGCAACAAGCAACAGATGCCCCTTTCCACAACGTTATTGGTTAATTATTAATGGTAATGTGCTCATTGTCTCCCTCGTGTGCAGGGGTGCCGCACGCCGACGACCTCCTCTACCTGTTCCAGGGCGGCCCGCTGCTCAGTCCTCCACAGCGCCCCCAGAAGGTCACCCTCCCTGCTGACCTACGTGTGAGAGACATCATGTCCACCCTCTGGACCAACTTCGCCGCCACAGGGTAATGTAGAGGCTTGTGACTTACTATTAAAGGGCAGATTCAAATGTGGTAGTAGTGGGGCAGGTTGGGAAAGAGTGATAATGGGCCAGGTTCTCAGTAAGTGGTAATGGGTCAGGTTCTCAGTGAGTGGTAATGGGGCAGGTTCTCAGTGAGTGCTAATGGGGCAGGTTCTCAGTGAGTGGTAATGGGGCAGGTTCTCAGTGAGTGCTAATGGGGCAGGTTCTCAGTGAGTGGTAATGGGGCAGGTTCTCTCTCTGGAACCTCCTTGCTCTAATGTGAAGACCTCCTGGAATTTCTTATTGAGTTCCTCACACACTTCCATGTGGTTCGTAGTGAACCTGTCTCTCCCCATCCTCAGTTTTATTACCTGTTCCTTCACTGTTGTTTTCCTCCTGATGTTGCTGTGCAGCAATTTAGGTTGAGTCTCTACCTTGCTTGCTATGTCATTTTCAAATTGCCTTTATGGCTCTTTTCTCACCCTAACGTATTCATTTCTGGCACTCTGGTACCTTTCTCTGCTCTCTAGTGTCCGATTATTTCTATAGTTTCTCCATGCCCTTGCACTTAGTAGCTTTGCTAGATTACATCTCTGATTAAACCATGGGTTTCTTATCATCTGCACTTAATTTTTTTTTCCTTTTGAACTGAGACGCACTTGTCTGTTGCCTCCTTACACTTCTGTGTGATGAAGTCCATCATGTCTTGCGCCGTCTATCCTACGAGCTCTGCTTCCCAAGTTATATCTGTTAGGAAGTTTCTTTTTCATCATAGTTTCCCTTTCGGAATGCCATCCTTTGGTTTTCTGGGCCCCTTCCTTGAGTACATTTATCCTTCTTCGACCAAATACTCAAACATCAGTACACTGTGATCACTCATTCCCATGGGGAGCTTTGAAACCGATTTCCCTTATGTCAGAGTTATTTAGAGTGAAGACTAGGTCGAGTCTCGCTGGTTCATCATTGCCTCTCATTTTTGTGGATCCCCTGACATGCTGACTTAAAAAGTCTCTTGTTGTCACTTTTAGCAGTTTAGCTCTCTATGTTTCCTCACTTCCAAGCGGTTCCTTGTTTTCCCAGTCTATCCTTCCGAGATTGAAGTTCCCCATAATGAGCAGATGGGATCTATTTCTACAGGCAGCAGTGGCTACTCTCTTAATTATAGTGTTGACTGCCATGCTATTTCTGTCATACTCAGCCTGGGTCTTCTGTCGTTTGGCGGAGAGTTATATATTACTGCTACCACTACTCTTGGACCTTTTATTGTCATGGTACCTGTTGTGTAGTCTCTGAACCCCTCACAGCCTGGGATAACCATCTCCTCGAAACTCCATTCCTTTGTTATCAGTAGGGTTACTCTGCCTCCTCCTGTTCCTTCCCTCGCTCTCTTCTTATTACAGTGTATTTCTCGGGAAACACTGCATCCATTATGATTCCTGAGAGTTTTGTTTCTGTGATTCCAATTACATTCGAGTTCCCTTATGTGCTCTTTCCCTAAGTTCACTTAGCTTGTTTGTAATCCCATCTATGTTCGAGTACACTACCTTGAAACTGACTCTCTTTTTCCATCCTCAGTTTCCATTGATTCCATAGGAGTAGGGGGGCATGGGGTGTCTTGGGTGGGAGGCCTAGGAAGGTGGGTCTGGGGGATCTGGAGTGAGTGGGTGGCTGGGAGGATCCTGTGTTCTAGAGGGGGGTCTGGGGCGGTGTAGCGGAGAGGGTCTGGTGGTTGGGGGTCAATTTGGGCTTCGGATGGAGGAGGAGAAGGGGAATGTGAAAGAGGGATGGTAGGCGAATTTTTTGGAGGATGATGGGGGAGCCTGGGGTAGGGGATCCAGGAGGTCAGGGGTTGGGGAGGGACTGGGAGCCTGGGGTGGGGGCTATGGGGTGTGGTAGGAAGGAGAGCTAGGGGTGGGGTTGAGGAAGGAAGGGGAGCCTGGGATGGAGCGGCAGGGCAAAGGGGGAAGTGGTAGGAAGAAGAGCTTGGGTTGGGGGTACTGGGAGGGCATGGACTGGAGAAACAGGGGAGGGCATAGGGTGTGGGTACAGAGAGGGCCTGGGGTGGGAGAAGGCGTTGGGAAAGGAGTACATTGGCGGGGGAGGAACATGAGGGGGCCTTGTGTCATGGAGCAGGGGGCTTGGTCTGGGGAGGGTCTCTTCTGGTTAGGGGGGGGAATGATTGTGGGGTGGGTTTGTGGGAGGTTTCTGTTATATTCCTCCCTAGGAATGCGGGGCCTGTTGGTGAAAGGATTCCCACTCCGCTCTGAGGTTCCTGGGGATTCTGCACCAAGTTCTGTGGCTTCGCCGTTCCCATCCCTCCCCTTGCTTCTGCAGCCCTCCTCTCTTCCCTCGCCATGTCCCTCTGCAGAAAAATCGCCCTGTAACCCCCTAATATCATTAGCATGCTCTTCCTTGATAGGATCTCCTCTTTCTGTGCCTCGTTCATAAGCACTACCTTTGTCAGTCGTTTCCTTTCTTGGAAAGTACTGACAAAGGACATTTTTTCTAGGGCCAGATGCTTAGGGCTAGCCTCAGCAACTTCCTCATGTGAAGCACGTGAGGAAGAGGGGCGTCATAGGCCCGTCGGTAATAGCTCAATGAAATAATTTACGAAATATTGGCCTTTTGTGGAATCAATTCTTAAGTAGTAATTTCATTGTCATAATAATTAATTTACTGAGAGAAGGGACAAGAGAGGAGAGGGGAGAGGAAGAGGGTGAGGATGATGGGAGAGAGGGGATGAAAGAGGGTGAATGAGGAGGGATGGTGTGGGAAGGGAGGGTAGTGGGATATGGTGGAGAGAGAGACTCCAGGCACTGCCACGTACTCCTTCCAGTACACTATAAATAAATTGTTTTGCCCTACGTTTCGATATATCCACTGAGAGTTATACCCGCTTCTTGGTGAGTATATGCTGATTCTATACCTAAGTTTTTGACTATTTTCAAAAACTATAGTATACTTGCTAGTTGATCAGTAAACTATAATGATTGTCTTATAACTTTCCACAGAGTGATTAGCCTTTAATCAGCAGCAAAACGAGCCAGTTTGCTCAACATTGTTGTCTCCTACAGGAACCCAACTCCTGATGACTCTCTGGGATTCACCTGGGAACCCTCCACCGAGGATAACCTCCAGTACCTCGCCATCAACCTCCATCCCACCATGGAGCCTGACCGCAGACAGGAGGCAAGCTCTCAAGCGTTGAACATTATTGTGAACTAACAGCTCATATTAAAATGAACACAGAAGGTTGACACACACAAACAGGGCTTGGGAGCCATCGTCCAAAGGGCCTGTGTTCGATTCATGGTCGATACAGAAACACATTGGTAGAGTTTTTCACCTTATGCCTCTGTTCACCAAGTAGTTAATAGGTACTTAGGAGTGGGACCGCTGCTACGTCCTTCATCCTGGGGATGAGTGTGTGAAATGAGAGAGAATTATATGTAGTAGATATTATAGAGAAAACTAGGTCGGGAGTCGGTACATTAGACTACCAACGGTTTGAAAGGCAGGGTCCAGGAGCTTGCAACTTAATTGTGCAGGAACAAAAAGTAAATACAAATGGCAAACACACACTCATGCTACTGTTATTGGGATTTATAGAACACCTCTCACATGGCGTTAGTCATCAGCGTTAACTTGGAGTCGCATCTGTCAACAGGTGAGGAAGTTCTTCGCGTCTCTGCCCACGAGGACCAGCCGCGTCCTGTATGCTGATGGGGTGCGTCAGCCCCTCCAGCAAGAACACCAACAAAGTAAAACTCAAGATGAACTATAGGAAGGAAGGATTTAAAATGCAAGAACATGTCTGGAACTCTCAATGGTCCCCAACTAGATTAAACTTTTTTTTTATATACCAACAAAAAAGAGCCATATCTGCCGAAATTAAAAGTAGTTTAATTTGAGTGAATTTTTTATTTATTTATTTTTCTGGAAAAAATAGAACAGATAGAACATCCAACTAGTCAAGGTTTCAACATCGTAACGTAAATAAAATGGAGAAAAAATCAACACAATGTTAACTTATTTCATTTCTGTAACACTGAACTATCACAATAGCATTTAATCTTTATTTTGTATTTATAGGTTTATCCAGTAAATGTCTAGTACGTAAAAAAGTATTTAGATGTCCCTTTCACAAACTATGCATCAAACTGACTGATGAATTAAATAATATATCGTTATATTCTAATTATATCATAAACATTATAATTCAAAATAATATAATATTTTGAATAATATTCATAAATAATATGAATATTTATAAAATTATTGACACTGAAAAAGCATATACGGGTTGTAGAGGAAGAAACTCTTCATATAATATGTAAAATTCATGAGATTAGAATAAAAGTTGAATCCGCAAATAGAGCTTGAATTTGTAGAAAAAAAAATTGATGTACACGAAATTTAATTAAAGTTGTCTGACAATATTTTGAGGCACTTCTAATTTTCCGATTAACTCCTGTTGCTGGGCTTATTGACGGGCCTATTGTCAAGGCTATGTACTCCAACATAATATTTTAGAAAATATTTCTTGAAACAAAAGTGCAAACAAATATTTATTCCCCCCCCCAAAAAAAAAAAAATGATTTTACATAAATTTGTATTGTATATTTGGTATATTTACATATGAAATAATATTAACATGTTGCATTGCATTTCGTTATACCCAATGACTGTATTGGTCCTGATGCAGATTTATTAGCATGTACTGTACTTATATTTTTCCAACATTGGCAATCGTAATATATTCGCTTGACTATTTATTGCAGTATTGAGAGATATTTTTTGCAAGAGTTTTTATAATGCATTCAGTAATACATCTATACCATAAAACAGCTGTCGTTAACATGTTAATATTATTTAGTGAGCTGAAATTATACTGGAGTTGTGGTGAACTATATGTGAGGTGCAGGAGCGAGTTAGGGCAGTGGTGGGTGGCGAGGTGCAGGAGCGAGTTAGGGCAGTGGTGGGTGGCGAGGTGCAGGAGCTAGTTAGCGCAGTTGTCGGAGGCGAGGTGCAGGAGTGAGTTAGGACAGTGGTGGGTGGCGAGGTGCAGGAGCGAGTTAGGGCAGTTGTCGGAGGCGAGGTGCAGGAGTGAGTTAGGGCAGTGGTGGGTGGCGAGGTGCAGGAGCGAGTTAGGGCAGTGGTGGGTGGCGAGGTGCAGGAGCGAGTTAGCGCAGTTGTCGGAGGCGAGGTGCAGGAGTGAGTTAGGGCAGTGGTGGGTGGCGAGGTGCAGGAATGAGTTAGGGCAGTGGTGGGTGGCGAGGTGCAGGAGTGAGTTAGAGCAGTGGTGGATGGCGAGGTGCAGAAGCGAGTTAGGGCAGTGGTGGGTGGCGAGGTGCAGGAGCGGGTTAGGGCAGTGGTGGGTGGCGAGGTGCAGGAGCTAGTTAGCGCAGTTGTCGGAGGCGAGGTGCAGGAGTGAGTTAGGACAGTGGTGGGTGGCGAGGTGCAGGAGTGAGTTAGGGCAGTGGTGGATGGCGAGGTGCAGGAGCGTTAGGGCAGTGGTGGGTGGCGAGGTGCAGGAGCTAGTTAGCGCAGTTGTCGGAGGCGAGGTGCAGGAGCGAGTTAGGGCAGTGGTGGGTGGCGAGGTGCAGGAGTGAGTTAGGGCAGTGGTGGATGGCGAGGTGCAGGAGCGGGTTAGTGCAGTTGTCGGAGGCGAGGTGCAGGAGTGAGTTAGGGCAGTGGTGGGTGGCGAGGTGCAGGAGTGAGTTAGGGCAGTGGTGGATGGCGAGGTGCAGGAGCGAGTTAGTGCAGTTGTCGGAGGCGAGGTGCAGGAGTGAGTTAGGGCAGTGGTGGGTGGTGAGGTGCAGGAGCGAGTTAGCGCAGTGGTGGGTGGCGAGGTGCAGGAGCGAGTTAGGGCAATTGTGGCTGGCGAGGCGCAGGAGCGAGTTAGGGCAGTGGTGGGTGGCGAGGTGCAGGAGCGAGTTGGGTCAGATGTAGCTAACGAGGCGCAGGAGCTAGTTAGGCAATTGTTGGTGGCGAGGCGCAGGAGCGAGTTAGGCAGTTGTGGCTGGCGAGGCGCAGGAGCGAGTAGGAGCAGGGATACGTGGCGAGGTGCAGGAGTGAGTTAGTGCAGTTGTCGGAGGCGAGGTGCAGGGGCGGGTTAGTGCAAGTAGTATAATCCGTGCCAGATAGGCGCACTTAACAAACAATGGGGGGTACTTATCAGACAATGGAATCAGAGGCGGGGAGCCAGATAGGCCCACTTATCAGACAAAGGAATCAGAGGCGGGGTGACAGATAGACCCACCTCAAATTGTAGTCTACAGTGTGCCCCCGCCACGTTTCACTTACACTGGGTATCTCCGTTTAAACACTACGTCATTATATAGGACTAATTAAGGATATATATATTCGAACAAGTCTGAATGGCCCCTCCAGGACTATGTGCATATATGACCGGACCTATATAGGATATATATATACTCAAAATAAAAGTGGGTGAAAAGAAATAACACTTGTTTTATACAATATATTAACAAAAGTACATAGTGGCTTAAACGTAGTCGTAATCTAATTCCCCCCCATAATATTGTCTAACTAGACCCCTCCTCCGTGCCCACAGGTCTGTTGTGGGGTCTTCCTCCCCCTCCTGGGGTGATGATGACGATGAGTCATCATCCAGAGGGAGAAAGAGGTGTTGTGGTTCTTCTTCCTCTCCTAGGGGGCTACTGTCGTCATAGCGTTCACTCTCACTGGAAGGGTGTTACCCTTCCTCTCCTTGTGGCTCGATGACGTCATCACTTTCACTTCCAGCGGTCACCCCTTGGGTTGAGGTGGATGGGTGGGGGTCAGGTGGTATGTCTGGATGGCCATAGCCTAGGCTTTTGTATTTATTTAGGTAATAGCGTTTATCATCAAATGCACTTAAACCCCTCTTAGTATTATGGGTGGTGACCATTTGCCCTCCTAAATTCCTAATTTGGTAGTATTGGAAAGTATTTACTACTGCATTACTGTGAAGGGTTTCTTTAAAATGTCTATGAGTTAAAGATCTTTGCACAGCGCGGGGGATACCCTTAGCGGTAATGGAATTTGAATTGTTGTGCAACAGCAAACTATACATTTTGGGCTTGAGAGCTACAACTTCAAGGATGTGTCTATCTGAAACCTCTGACTTTAAAAGACCTAAAACACCCTTTTTAGAAGGATCATACAAGGGGTGAGTTTCAGGGAAGTTACTGGTATCGATCCATGATCTAAGGGGTTCTTTCCCCATCTCGTTAAAGACATCTTCAGTCATTAAACTGAAGATGAAACTGTCTGTATCGCTGTATATCAGTGCTGCCCTATCTGAATAGTGGTTCTTAAGTACCCTGTACCAAAATGGTACAAACTGTATTTTGCTAGCTCAAGAATCTGGAACCCAATGTAATTAGGATGAGTAATTTTAATGAATGGTCTGGAACTGACAGACAATAATTTATTATCACCTAAATGACAATAAATACGTTAAAATGAATACGTTTAAAGCGAGGATTCTTCACCTCTCGTAAAAAGACCCTAGCTGAAGTCACTAGTTTGGTGTCAATGGCATAACGGGCTGGGTTCAGTAGTGTTTTACCAAAAACACTGTTCGTCAGTAATTTGAAGAGTGTTTTCCTATCGTTACTGGTGGAAGCATTTCTATTGTTAACGTTGGTGTTAACAAATTCTGCCATAAAATCAGACTGGTGGAACTCATAAATGGCATGAATAGCCCCTACTTCAAGACCTATCTCAATAAATAACTGTAAGAGGTGTAGAGATATGAAATAATGTTTCTTTGGGAGATGATCCCCTACCAACTTAATATTTTTTTTAGGGAGGTTTGTAATGTTATTTGTTTCCAGAAGTCCCCTGCTAAATGGTGAGATATCCTCCATACTTATCCCCCTATGGTGTAAACAAAGGGGTAGATCGTCTGTTAGTCTAGCTATTTCAGGTCTTATGTGTTTGGTGTCAATTAATAGCCAGTACCCTTTGTTAGAGGAGAATGGCTGTTCTGTCATTATCTTCCCTTCACTAATGAAGGAGTTCATCTCATCAGATGACAACCTTCTTAGACCACCATAGGGTAATTTCTTAGTCATACAACTCCCGTAAAGGGAGTTGAAGTCTAAGTAAAGTAAGAAAGAAGACCTATCCTCCTGGGGGTTAAAAGATGGGTTGACATAGCGGTTGTTAGCTCTGGCATAACTCCTAACTGCAGTTGTAAAACCCCCTCGTATGTTTTGTGATATGAGATTGTGCAACGTCACATCTGCACTTAACTCCAACGATATTTTGCTACTTTTCAAGAAGCAATCATAGGAGTAACCCGGAAGGCTACAGTAGTGAGTCATCTCTAAGGAAAATATATAATTTAAAATTACTCTATGGTGAGTAAAAATGTCAGCCAGTAAACCAACATCACACCTTAAATAAATAAGGAGATAATCCTTTAATGACACATCCTGTAGCCTCCCATACTAATTTAGAATGTCTATATTCTTCCAAAGTGACGGTTGATTTGTTTATGGAGCTGTAAAACATTTCAATAGGGGGGAGTGTTGCATCATTAAAGCAGCTGATTTTTGTGGCATATTCATAAGGGAAAAACTGCTTACCCTTTAAGAGTAGGTGGTGACTCTCTTCGGGTAAACCTTCTATCATTGAGTGCGTGAATGTTAAGGGGCTGCCTGAATCAATGTGGGTTTTTGCTAGGGACGAAAGACTGCCCGTAATAAAAGCCAGTGAATCAAGAAATTTAAGGTTGCCTATTTCTACCTTAAGATATTTAGTCCCCTGCCTCATGAGGATATTGCTCTTAATATTTGAACCCATGTCAAACTCCCTCAAAATTAAGCCCATGTCATAAGACATATTGTGGGCAATTAGGACTAAACTCTCTAGAGCATTCTTGTGGCGGAGGTTGCAGTAATTACATAGAGCTCCAATATAATTGAGTTTTTTCCTAAGGTGATCATGATGTTGAACCTTGAAATTGGTGGGTGTAAATACCTCCTCACAAAACTGGCAGTGAGTCTGTCTCCTAAAATGAACCATATCCTCAAGAGATATGTCTATTTCATATTTGGGTAGGGTGGATCTGATAATTTCCCATTTGGTGGCAACTCGCTCCATGAAATGAGTGACGCTGTCCCCCCCAAATTAAGTAAATTTATCAATGACGGAGTGGTTCCTATCAACAATTATATAGCTGTATGCTATAGGCCTATGTATGGCTGTAACAGAACCTAGACAATCCTCAGTGCTTAGGACACTCTCGAAATCGAAATAAGCTACATGGGAAGGGGGGTAACCTTTCCCTGTATTTTTAAAATGAAGGGTGTCCCCCTCCTGGGGATAAATCATTTTCTACGTGATGTCGCAGGAAACAGAATGGTGAGACAGCTCACTAGAATTTTGATATTCAGAAAGACAGCTTCTACAGAAGACTGTCTTTCGACTGTGGCTGCGGGTAAAGTTCCGCAAAAACTTATTTAAGTCTTTAATAAGACTTACATGAGACTCCCCCAATAATAATAATGGAACTATGTCTGAATACTGTCTGCTACCACGACGACAAAGAGAGACGTGATAGGCACCGTCTGTATGTTTGTGAATTGAATACAAAAAAATGGAGAGTTTATTCCTATTTTCCAATTTAGAGATATCCTCCCATGAGAGAGGGAAAGATAATTGCTCGTATTTGACCATTTTCCTAACCCTAGAGTGAGACTCTACAAGTCTTCCTATACGTTTCCATTTCCATCCTTGTTGTGACGCCCGAAAAGCGGCAATGCATTGAATAATGCATGTTCCATTGTTACCATTGGGGTTAGGGTTGAAGACCTCATGTCGCCCCCTTAAAAAGGGGGGATAAGGGACATAATCCCCCAAAACTGACCTTACACTACCATTACAGATAACGATTTTGAGGAAATCAACATTAAATAATATAAAACCACTCCCCTCTGTTTCTGAAAGGAGATCCTCCAGACGTGTAATCATATAACTCACCCAACTATCAATAAGATCACCTACCTCCTCAAGTGTTACCAGCCTAGTAGGTGTCGTTATGAAGTGTTCCCTATAGTCATCATCTTCTGTGAGACGTTGCTTTAAAAGTGTAACCTTCACTTCAAGGAGGATTTTGAATGATGAAGTAAAATTGCCATGACCCGCCAGAGAATTCATGTAATTCTCTATTTCGTTAGAGAATAGTTCTCTAAAGTTGCTTAGAAGACCTACAGGATCTGTGGCAAAGGCTGGGGGGATGGAATATTCCATTCTAGTAAAGAGATCCCCCAGGGCCCCCACCCTATTAATTAAGTGAGGGATGTCTATAACATCCTCCCCTTCTGAGGAATTTCCATCTCTATCTCGATTGTTGTCATGGGGTCTAAGACCACTAGGACCTGCCTGAGGGATGGCACCACCACCATCATCATCACCACCATCACCATCATTACTCATCTCTTCCTCCCCCCCATTTTCAAAGGGCTGTCTAGCCCCGCCAACACCTAAGGGGGTATTGTTACGTTGGGCTTTGGGGTGAAGTTCCTCTCCTACCTGCCCCTGAGATGTCTTTACCTGCCTCTGAAGCACCCCTGGAAAAAATAATTATAATAATAATAATAATAATAATAATAATAATAATAATAATAATAATAATAATAATAATAATAATAATAATAATAATAATAATAATAAAAAGCAACACCCCAACACTCCCTACTAAACCCCATGACATAACGCCTCAAGAAAGCTTCTTAAGATAATAAAACTGGAGAGAGGGTTTATTCACACACCTTGGGGACATGATTGTAGATGTTCAGAGGTCAAGTGCTCACACAAAGTGACCCCACAACTGCTGCAGGTGAAAGTGGGGTGAGGCTTCGAGGTGACGCTGCCGCATATGAGGCATTCAAAATCACTCTCTCCGGTAGGCCGGTGATGTTTACCTCCTAACAAGG